AAAATAATTTTAGTGATGTATAATCAAAATGATAATATTTATTCACACTACATTATTATTTTCATGCTTTCATTTTAGATTTTGAGTTTTTTAAGAGTAAGGTTTATTGCTTAGTTGTCATTTTAAAATTGTTTTTTAAGAGACAGGGTCTTACTGTGTTGCCCAAGCTGATTTTGAATATTTTTTATTGAAATATTTAAATCATGTTTTTCACTTATTCAGTAAAAGCAGACCCCTGCGTTTTGCTGTTGCCATTGTGTAGCAGTGTGCACCATTTTGATTTGTACATGGCTAAATAGAGTTTCTCTTTCATTGAACTTGCTGTCATGTTAGGTTTACATAGGCCAAAGGATTTATACTGACTGAGCAGGAGAGAGGCAATGCTAGGAATATCCTGCCAGTGTATACCTTTCCTGCTTAGGCTCATATTGGTTTCCCGTCTCCTCTTTCCCAGTAGCCTTAGAGAGGCAGTCTCCTTGCTTTTTTACTTCTACTCCCTATTACTGCAGATGACAGTTTGCTTTATCTTTCTGTTATCTTATTCTGTAGAAGGTTCTTTCTCCCCTACCTGAAATATGGTGGCAGGTTTCAGAGGTTTTCACTGCTAGAGAAAGTGATAAAAGTATAAGACTAATAAAGCAAACCTTGCTTTTGTTTCAAAGAGTGATACTTGAGGCCGGGCTTGGTGGCCAACGCCTGTAATCCCAGCACTTTGGGAAGCTGAGGCGGGCAGGTCACTTGAGGTCAGGAGTTTGAAACCAGCCTGGCCAACATGGTGAAACCCTGTCTCTACTAAAAAATACAAAAATTAGCCAGGCGTAGTGGTGTACGCCTGTAATTCAGCTATTCAGGAGGCGGAGGCAGGAGAATTGCTTGAACCCAAGAGGCAGAGGTTGTAGTGAGCCAAGATTACGCCATTGCCCTCCAGCCTGGGCGGTAGAGCAAGATTCAGTCTCAAAAGAAAAAGAAAGAGTGAGGCTTTGATTTTTTTATCAGTCGTAATCACATCTTCAGTTATTTTATTTTAAACCTCATATACCCTGTTCCATTTTAATTTCCTCCAGCTTCATTCCTGACTAGCAGAATCATTTCACTTTCTCTATGTGAACCTTATACTGTAGTGCTTCTCAGCCTCATCAGACCAGTAACTCCCTTTTTAAGCAAATAATTTGTAATTCTGCCTTCGAGATCCTTAAATAAAGTGGATAGATAAAACAGTTCACTTAAAAAAGCTTAAAAAAGTCAATTGCCCATATTGTAGTATACAGGAGAAGCAAAAGGGAAGTAGTTTATAATAAAATAGTATATATTTTGATATTTAAATGTTTGGATATGACACATAGAGATAACAAATGCCTCCACAAGTTTCTCACTTAGTTATTCTATGCCACAGGGGATATAGAAAGCTCTGTGAATCCTAATTGGTAGGTTATTTGGATGACTACCTGGACAGCTAACCCAGATTTATCTATATTTTAGAGAAAATATCAGAGTCTGTTTTACAGTCTCTTTTTTTAACTTAAAAAAAGAAGTGTAGTTAACTTAGATCCTCAGTTTCAGTTTGACATATTTGATGATACAGTGAATTTCCATGATGCCAAAAAGTACTCCTATATCCCTTTCTAGTTAGTTCTCTGACCACTTTTTGATTTCTAAATCTGTAGGTTAGTTTTACCTGTTTTTGAATTTCATATATGTTGAGTTGTACAATGTATTCTATTCTTTTTGAGGATGGGGAATGGAGAGAGTTCTGGGTGCTTTCACATAACATGTTTTTGAAATTTACCCTGTACTGTTTATTTATTCTTTATTACTATTCTGTTGTATGAATATACCATAATTTGTTTACCCACTTCTTTTGGTGGCTGTCTGGGTTGTTTTATATTTGGGGCTATTAATAGTGTTACTGTGAATAGTTTTGTGCAAGTATTTCGGTGGACTTATGTTTTTATTTCTTTTTGAAAACAGTAACGAAATTGCTGGTCATAGTGTATGTACATGTTTGACTTTATAAGAGACGATGAAACAGTTCTCCATATTAGTTTTACTGTTTTACATTTGTACCAGCAGTGAATGAGGGTTCCAGTCATTTAGCATCCTTGACAACATTTTGTATTTTCTGTCTTTTTGTTTTTAACCATTTTTATAGGTTGTTAACTATTTTACATGTTTTCAGTGTTCTTTCTGGAAATAAGCTTGTTTATTGTTTTCCTTCCCATTTGGGTTTTATCCTTTTTCTTTGTCCTGTGACATTTACTACTTGTCCATCTGCCAAAATTTTGTTGACACATCTTTTGCTGTGATCTCTTCTCTTGTGATCACTTCTCTTGTTATTTGTCCCTTTTAAAAACATGTTTTGTTTTTTTTTTGGAGACAGAGTCTCGCTCTGTCGCCAGGCTGGAGTGCAGTGGTATGATCCCGGCTCACTGCAACTTCCGTTTTCCAGTTTCAAGCAATTCTCCTGCCTCAGCCTCCCGAGTAGCTGGGACCACAGGCATGCACCACCATGCCCGGCTAATTTTTTGTACTTTTAGTAGAGATGGGGTTTCACCATGTTGGCCAGGATGGTCTCAATCTCTTGACCTCGTGATCTGCCTGCCTTGGCCTCGAAAGTGCTGGGATTACAGGCATAAAAAACGTTTTTAATTTTTTTTGGAGACAACAGTTTCACTCTGTCACCCAGGCTGGAGTACAGTGCCATGATCTTGGCTCACTACAACCTCTGCCTCCTGAGTTCAAGCGATTCTCCTGCCTCAGCCTCCTGAGCAGTTGGGGCTACAGCTGTGTGCTACCACATCCGGCTATTTTTTTTTGAATTTTTAGTAGAGATGGGGTTTCACCATGTTGGCCAGGCTAGCCTCCTGGCCTCAAGTGGTCTACCCACTTCATCCTCCCAAAGTGCTGAGATTGTAGGTGTGAGACACCGCACTCAGCCTTTTAAATGTTTTTTTGTTTTTTGTTTTTTTCTTTTTTATTTGAGACAGAGTTTCTCTTGTTGCCCAGGCTGGAGGGCAATGGCACTATCTCGGCGCACTGCAACCTCCGCTTCCTGGGTTCAAGTGATTCTCCTGCCTCACCCTCCGAAGTAGCTGGGATCACAGGCATGTGCCACCATGCCCGGCTAATTTTTTGTATTTTTAGTAGTGATAGGGTTTCTCCATATTTGTCAGACTAATCTTGAACTCCCAACCTCAGGTGATCCACCCTCCTTGGCCTCCCAAAGTGCTGGTATTACAGGTGTGAGCCACCACACCTGGCCTTAAATTTTTTTTAATTAGGAGTGAGCAGAGTTAAATATGTGTGACATAAACACACCTTTGTCTTACTTTTTGCTCAACAGTATGTTTGTGAGATTCATCCTTGTGCCTTGAGCCAAAATTTAAAGGACATAGCCGTATTGTGAAAGTTATGTAGATGCTTTGTCATGCTAACCTCTGATAATTTGATCTATCTTCTCTGTTATCTCTTCTCCTTACAGTTAATATCTGTGCATTAATAGCTCTGTGTATACCTATTTAACATGAGTGACTAGATTTAGGGAAATTAGGATGTATCTTAAAATTGGTGTATCATTTTTTTCCCTTTCTTAGTGACACATAAAATAATACGTATTGCATTTGAAACAAGTACAATGATGAACTTGATCTGTTTAACATGTTCCATTTGAAGTCATAATACTAAAAACTTTCTTTACTGGGTTAGGTAAGATAACATTTGTGTTTCTTTAGAAGATTTTTTATTTTTTTTTAAATCACAAGATATTTTTTACTTTAAGAATAGTTTTTACCAGTAGAGAATGCCCAAATTGAAGGGGTTAAGACCTGGGCATTAGTTTTATGGTATTTCTGTTGTACTTATCTGTTTAACTGTTAATTTATAGAGAAAGTAAATCTACTCCAGTTATAAGCAGTGTTTATATAGATAGGCATGACTGTTTTTGCTAATGCATATTCAAACAACCAAATTTTATCTTACTGGTTCCATAATAAAAGATGAATAATATTTTATTTGTTAAATTTATGCTCAGTTGTGGTTCCTCTTCCTTAAGCTTAAGATAACATTACTGAAGTTAATGTCCCTCCTTTCACTCAGTGCCATGTGAAGAACTCCATGTTTTTGGTTTTAACAACTTCCTTCAATCACTCATAATTGTTACATCTTTTTCATTTTTTTCTATCTGCTCTTTGCCTTCTCTTGGTTCGGTTAAGTGGAACTGCCTTATGATCTTAGTGTCCTATTTCTTGGCAGCTAGTATCTCAATTTTATTCTTTCAGTAACCTTAATCTGGGTTGCCCTCAAGGTCTAGAAACTTGAGTATTCTTTTCCCAGTAGCACACTTGGCTTGAATATTGTATCATTTAAATGGAAAAAAAAAAAAAGTCAACATTGATACATCTCTCAGTTCATTTATATCTTTTGTTTAATTAATGAGGTTGGTGAATTTTTTTTGAGACGTAGTTTCACTCTTGTTGCTCAGGTTGGAGTGCAGTGGCGCAGTCTTGGCTCACTGCAAGCTCTGCCTCCCGTGTTCAAGCGATTGTCCTGCCTCAGCCTCCCAAGTAGCTGGGAGGATTACAGGCACCTGCCACCATGCCCAGCTAATTTTGGTATTTTTAGTACAGATGGAGTTTTGCCATGTTGGCCAGGCTGGTCTTGAACTCCCGACCTCAGGTGATCCTCCCACCTCGGCCTCCCAAAGTGCTGGGATTACAGGTGTGAGCCACTGTTCCCGGCTAGGTTAGTGAATTTTTTCAAGTTCCTAATCTACCAAGTGGGGAGAAGGCTCTTACTACTCAATTAGATGTCACCACTGTGTTTTGACTGAAGAACTAATCTTCCTTCTTTCTTCCTTCTGTTTCTTTCCTGGCTCTTAATTTTCTTGATACTTCTCCTTAGGTACTGTTTTGCTAAGGCTTGTTTTCAGAGGTGTCATGCAGTCTTTTAAAAACATTTTGGTTGTTAAAGTTTCCATTGTAATAAAATAAAATCTTATCTTTCAGAGTATCTTAAAGTGAGGTCACATGACCCTGAGGAAGCTATTAGACATGATGTTATTGTGTCAATAGTTACAGCTGCTAAAAAGGATATTCTTCTGGTCAATGATCACTTACTTAATTTTGTGAGAGAGAGAACATTAGACAAACGGGTAAGTACAAATAAGTAATTATTAATAAGTTTTCATTTTTAATACTTGAAGTTTAACAGTATTTGAAAATATTGAGATTTAAATGTAATTAGCCTTTTTTTTGGGGGGGAGCCATTTTAATATTTAAAATTAACTTTATGAGGTTTTACTTTTTAAAATTAAATTGTATCGGCCGGGCGCGGTGGCTCAAGCCTGTAATCCCAGCGCTGTGGGAGGCCGAGGCGGGTGGATCACGAGGTCAAGAGATCGAGACCATCCTGGTCAACATGGTGAAACCCCGTCTCTACTAAAACTACAAAAAATTAGCTGCGCATGGTGGCACGTGCCTGTAATCCCAGTGACTCAGGAGGCTGGGGCAGGAGAATTGCCTGAACCCAGGAGGTGGAGGTTGCAGTGAGCCGAGATCGTGCCACTGCACTCCAGCCTGGGTAACAAGGGCGAAACTCCGTCTCAAAAAAAAAAAAAAAAAAAAAATTGTATCAGTTTTTCTTTATTAAGATATTTGTTCCAATCATAACATAAAACAGCTCTTAATGGTAGTCAGATATTTGGCCTGTATACCAGTGTTAATGGTAACAGACTTTTGTAAAGGTCTGAGACACAACTTCTCTTACATTGTTGACTCTTTTTTCTTTCTCCTTTCAGGGCTATTGTTATATAAGTATGGATTGGTAGTTGTCTAATTGGTTGTATTATAATTAACATGGAATAGAAAATGAAAGATGTTTTCAACTTAGCAAAGCTAAACTCAATAGAGTACTATGCTTCTAGCCTATTTTCTGTTACTTCAATCCAACTTTTTTGAATGAGCACCCACTAGCCCCACTCACATTTATCAATAAACTTCTGGAGAGAGGACTGTGTCTTGTTATGTTTTTGTTTCATATTGCATGGAATATATTAGGTGCTCAGGAAATACTTTAATAAATGTTCATTCCGTTCTCCTGATTGCCATAATGGCATCTAAGCCTCATTTAGGCATAAGAGTAATTTTGGTGAAGGATTAGAGCCTTTAACTTATTTAAGCACTAATTAGCAAAGAAAGTGGGAGGCCTTGCCTATTGATTGTTGGAATAGCTTTGACTAGGTAAATTATTTAAAACATTGTAACAGGTTGATCGTGCCATCTCCCTTGTTAATACTGTCTTTGATAATGCTGGTTGTGGGTGGAGGATACATGGGCCAGAAGCACATGGTTTTCCCTTCAAATCTATAGGTATCCAGAACAATTTATTTTAACTGATAAATGTAGACTTATCTTTATTGAATATTTCGTTGTGGCATTAATCAGTGAAAAGGGCCAAAAGGCATGAAGAGGGAAGGATATTTGCATTGTTCATAGGATAATAGCCTTCTAAATAACCTTTTTTTCAGGTAGACTTAGAATTTGAACTGTTTTTGTTTATTGTTGGGATCATAATATATATTTTTATTCATGTTATGTTCATTGTATGGTTGCTTGGTTCATTCACATAAAAATTGAGCACTGAAAAGTAATTGACTATATACATGTTCTTGACAATATTAGCTATGATGTATCTTTAAATTCCCTTTGAAGAAGAGAGAATTAAAAGTTTGATATAACATAGGGAGTTAGAGATACAAAGTTTATATAAACAAATTTAAATCTCATTACAGCCTTGACATGGGCTCCAGCAGTTCTCCCACTTCAGCCTCCTGAGTAGGTGGGACTACAGATGCGTCCCACTATGCCTGGCCGTCTTGTCTTGTCTTTTCTTTTCTCTTCTCTTCTTTTCTTTTCCTTCTTTCTTTCTTTCCTGCCTCCCTCCCTCCCTCTCTCTCTCTCTTCTTTCTTTCTCTCTCTCTCTTTCTCTCTCTCTCTCTCTTCTTTCTCTCTCTCTCCTCTCTTTCTTTCTTCTTTCTTTCTCCTTCCTTCCTTCCTTCCTCCCTCCCTCCCTCCCTCCCTCCCTTCCTCCCTCCCTTCCTTCCTTCCTCCCTCCCTATGTTGCCTAAAGGCTGGTCTCCAATCCTGGTCTCAAGCCATCCTCCCACCTTGGCCTCTCAAAGTGTTAGACATGAGCCACCACAACTGGCCTGAAATCTTATTAGACTTTTAGAAGTCTTTTATTTCAATATGTAGTTGGTGGATTAATGAAATAAGAACTATTCTTAATATACTGTAATTAAGTGAAAGAAAAACCAAGGGGATAATTTGTTGCTATGAATGACAGACCATAGCAAAGAGAAAAGGACCACAAAGGAAAAAATTAATAATCTCTGCAAATTCATATTTTCAACATTACCAACTTCCTTTTGATTACAGTGCTGTGTTTATGTAAAATTAAAGAATGAACTTAAGATAATTAGTGTCAGATGCACTGTAACAAATATATACTTGTTTTAAAAAAGTTGAATACATTTCACTTATACTTCAACTCATTTCCCAGAGTTGACCAAATGGACCACTGATAAGTATCTTTACATTCAGCATTTGATAAAGCCAATATATATACCTTTAATACATCTTCATTACTATTATTATTTCTAATAGTATAAGTATGTTCAATATATACCACAATTTAGAAAAAATTTATGAGGGATGGGTCACAGTTTATCCTTTTAATTCTGTCTTTGCCTTTTAATGTTTGGTTGCTTGAGCTGGCTGCAGTGACTCATGTCTGTAATCCCAGCACATTAGGAGGCTGAGGTGGGAGGATCGCTTGAGGCCAGGAGTTCAAGACCAGTCTGGGCAACATAGTGAGACCCTGTTACTACAGAAATAAAAAATTAGCTAGGTGTGGCATTGTATGCTTATAGTCCCAGATACCTGGGAGGCTGAGGTGGGAGGATTGCTTGAGCCCAGGAGTTTGAGGCTTCAGTGAGTTGTGATTGCAGCACTTCACTCCAACCTGGGCAACAGAGACCCTGTCTCTAAAAATGCTTGAACAAAAATTTTGGTAGCTTGTTTTTCCTCACCAATTTTAAGTAACAATATGTAGAGTGTGATTAGCTTTAGTTTTCAAGCATAGGTGATAGGTTTAAGACATTAAAGCATTAAAGTTCTTTATACATGTTGACTTGTCTCCCGTACTTTACATAGTAGAAATATTTATGGGATAGTTTTGTGCTTTTAAAAAATAAATATAGTAATTATAAATTGATGTTCCTTATCTGAGACTTGAAAAAAATGTATAAAGGGAAGGAAAACATAAAACTAGGAAACTAAACTTTTCCTTAATTTATATAATAGAAGCATTTTTACATTATAAATAAAACTTCTTTTGTTTTTAAGTGGAGAGTACGCAAAGAAGCCATGATGGGACTTGCCCAGATTTATAAGAAATATGCTTTACAATCAGCAGCTGGAAAAGATGCTGCAAAACAGATAGCGTGGATCAAAGACAAATTGCTACATATATATTATCAAAATAGTATTGATGATCGGTAAGTTAAGGATACCATAAATATTTGGTGACTTTGAATGTTTATAACTTGATTTATGCCAACTATTTTCTTTATGATCTCACACCCTTTCCTCAGTTTTTAGTACTAAGTAATGGTAGTGAGTGACTGGGCTCATTCCCACCAGCACCATAAATGAAGCAGTAATGTATATATAACTTTAGGGATTGGCACAGGTTTTACGTTCATTTTTATACAGTGTATTTGAACAGTAATATCTAAAAGTAGGAATGTGTATAATTACAATTTTAGTTTATAGGTAATTGTGTTACAAAGACTTCATTAGTTTTTTTCAAATAAAACTTTAAAAACATGTTGGATTTTAGACATTTAAAAACAATTTCAACTGAAAGCTAGAAAACATTTTATAAATTTATATAAAAACACATTATCTGAATATAATCTTAATATTTTTTCTATTCCAGGCTAAGATTGGATCTTGCATGGACTGCAATCATTTATTAGTGATGAGAGCTCTAAATCCTGGTTATAGTCTGAAATGATTTAAGAGGTTATGCAGGTCATCCTATAATGTTAAGAGGCATAGATACTAAAAACTGAGTATCTTACATTAACATTATGAAACTTCATAGTTGTTTTTATAAAATTGAAGCTTTTATACTTTTTGAGGGTATGATATCAGTGCATAAAGATATACTTTATGATTTGGTAGGATTTTTTTTTTTAGTCCTTTTAACCGGGTCTGTTTTCATGATGATGCCTCTGAAAATGCAAAAGAATCTTAAAAGTTTCTTTAGTTTTGACTTAGAAATTTAGAGCTTGGCATTTGAAAGGACCTGGTGTGTTTTAAAATTCTGTATTATATTACAACTATATAATTTTTTAAGGTTCAAATTAAAGAAAAATCCCTGATATATAATGTGCCCAATGTCCTGAAGCTGATAGTTGTCTTAGCTGTGGGCATAGGGCTGTTTTCAGTACATCCAGCTAAATCTTGTTTTGGTCCCCTTCTTTCTACAGGTAGAAGATTTTGATTTGGAAATCTCATTTCCACCCATAGCAGCAGGAACCTCTTTAATATATGTTCTTTACATAATTTTGGAATTTTATATGCAGATTTAGAAAATTACAAAAAGGACAATACAATGCCTTCTCTGCTTTTTTGTAGATTACTTGTTGAACGGATCTTTGCTCAATACATGGTTCCTCACAATTTAGAAACTACAGAACGGATGAAGTGCTTATATTACTTGTATGCCACACTGGATTTAAATGCTGTGAAGTATGTTTCAAATATCAAACTCTGTTCTTTTCATCTTTTGCAATATATTGAATTTTATGGAAAAGAAACCACAGACACCTTGTTTTAAAATGTAAACTGTGTAGTGTAAATATTGTTTAAAGGGTCATGTTATAATATAGTACTTGGCTATTTTTTCAGAAAGTACCACTTTAAACATGAGATTAAGCCATTGTAAGCAATTGAAAAACAGAGCTGACTGACATGAAATCTTTTAGGATTTGAGTTTTCTATTCATATTGTTGGTGTCTCAAGAAATGTTGATGTACCTATTGTTTGTTTGCTTTCCTTAAGGCATTAGAAGCATTTGTATTATGAAAATACTACCTTTTTGTTCTCACTTGGTGTACTCATTTGTCTTATGATGCAGAGCAGTAGGCTACAAATTTTGTGCTGCGTAGCCTGAGCAGCACAGTGTTATATTTTGACATAAGAGTAAGCACAAATATGTTTTTTCTGCCACATTTCATTCAAAAAGTACTTTTGGGTGTTTAGGTAAAGTGGCATTGGCATTTTAGACATGGAAAAGATATTGCTAGTCTAATTGAATCATATTAAGGGTTAGGAAATTGAGGTCTTAGAGATTTGCTTTAGGTTTTAGGAAATGTAGACCCTTAGTATTGCAGCAAATGTAGTTTACAACTATTGGGGATTAAATGTTGAGAAATTGGAGAGATCTAAGTGACTATATGTAATTTTCATTTGTACCACTGTTTAATGAGACTTTTGACTTCATTTCTTCCATGGAAATAATTGTATTTTCTTTTTATGTTTTATACAGAAATATTGAGGAAAAGATTCTAGAGGGGAGAAATACACATTTTTTTTCCCCGCCTGCTGTATTTCAGGCACTGGGATTTGTATCATGTATAGCTGCTTTTGTGCTACAGTGGAAAAATATGTTGAAAAAGAGAACTGATTGCCCACAAAGCTTAAAATATTTACTGTCCGGCCTTTTATAGGAAAACCTTGCTAACCCTGGTTTAAATGATATTTTCCTGTTTTACACATGATGAAATGAATCACACAGATGTTAAGTTGCACAGAATCACACAAGGAGTGAGAGAGAGCCAGGATTTGCACTTGATCCTGCTTGGTTCCAAAGCTTGTTCTTTTTCCACTACACATAGTAAAATACATTACTCTTATATTTAATTTTATTACTTGTAAACTTTTCTCTGGAATTGGAATACATCCTAAAATTCTCGGTTTGTCATAGCCTAATTGGTGGCTCTTTTCCTCATGGCAAATTCAATTGATGGCCTCTTAAATGGAATGAAATATCATAATTATATTCTATTGAAACAACCTATTGGACATCATAGTAAATCTAGACTTCTCTACTCAGCCCAACTGTCATTCAAGAGTAATAGTGAAATAACACTTTTAAGCAAAAATGAAGAATTTGTCAGTTCTGCTTGAAAAAATTACTAAAGAATAATTTTCTTTTTGTTTTTGGCAAAAAAGGAAAGTAAATCTATAAAGAAGTAATAAGATACAAGAATTTGAAACACTTCTGTAAATGTAAATAATCAAGGACTCTAAAAACAGTAATAATAGTTTTATTTGCAAGGGGTGGGAGTGTGGATTAAAAAGTAGGTAGCACGTAGGCCAGTATTTAGCCAGTACCATATACCACTGCAGTACTTACTATATGAGGTTTCCTGAGTGTCCCTGGAACCCTCTTTCCTATGTCCCTACCATGCCTGGGCAGGGCTGGAATATCTCCAGGACCTTCTTCCACTACCCACGGTTCTGATTGGTTGATGCTTTTGTCAAAAATTTTGACTATAGGTGGGTCGTATTGGATAACAGCATATAAGGTGATAGGTAAGTAATGAGTATGAAGGTGTTCCCGGGTTCTTTTATCATATTAGTGATAGTGATTATTGAATAATTATAAGTGTGCATTTAACAATCACCTCTCAAAGCAGTTAAAATGTATAGTTTCCAAACACGGAGGAACAAAAAATGATTAATGAAAGCTTTAATACCAGAAACAAAATAGAAAACAAGAAAAATAACAGTAAGTAGAAATAAAAATTATAAATTGCTGTTATAAAACGAAGCATGTCAGATGTCACTCATCACTTAAGTGATAAGTATATTTGATTGAATTCAAAAGTGAGACAGTGCTATTCACAAGAGATATGTTGAAAAATAATGCCGTTGAAAAGTTGAAAGTAAATTCCAATCTGGACCAGTACTCAAAAGGAAAGGCTTTGATTCTACAAAAATGGTTGGTGAATGATTGGATATTTATCTGTTTTAAGATAAAATATTTAAGGTCTTTGTATATCATTTTTTAGATGATTTTCAGTTTAGCCAACATTTATAATTAGCTGACCAACTTATACTTACCAGTATTTTAGTACTTTATGTTTATCTGTGGTGGTTTTCTCCAAAACCCGTTACATTTTTTATTATGTAATAATTAAAAAAAAGATATGTATGTTATGAAGTTTAATAAAATAAAAATATCTATTAATCTATTACCCAACTTATAAAATTTTCTCCCATTCATCTTCCTCCCAGAGGTAACCTCTACCCTAGTTTCTTGTTTCCTTTTAAAAATTTTTTTAACATATCTATGTGTATATGTGTGTGTATTCCTCAGTAATATATTTTTGCTTGTTTTTGAACTTTATGATAAAGTGAGACAATTGTGTATACAGTTTTGTATGTCTTTTTTTCTATTCTATATCCAAGACTCATCCATAATATTATACATAGCTGTACATCATTCATCTTTTCAATTTAATATGCACATGCAAGAGTTTCTCTAAGGTATGATTATGAGTGATTCTCAAATTTAGCTACTTATTGAAATCACCCTGGGAGGTTTAAACAATTGACAACTAAGTTCCTCCTTCACAGATACTTACTGGAGTGTAGTCTGGGAATTGGGCTCTTTAGAAAAGCCTTTCAGGAGATTTTAATGGGCAACCAAGGTTCATATTCACTAGTATATAGCTAGAAGTGGAGTTTCTGACTATGGGCCTTTTCATCAACGTAAACTAGTGTCAAATTGTTTTCTAACATGATTATACTAGTTTATACTCCTACCAGTGGTTTATGAATTTCTACATCCTCCTGTATATTATCAGACTATTAGATTTTCTTAATCTTCTGAGTATCAAATTTTCTTATCTTTAATTTTCCTGAAAACAGATAATACTGAAACTTTATACTTTTATGGTCCATTAAAGTTCTGATTTCACCACACTCCCCACCACTCTGTATTGTAACACCTGTTTCAATTTAATTACACTCTAGCCCTGAAGTCATTTAAATGTATGACTTTGACTTAGTTTGAGAAGGACTTAAAAATAGCTGCTTGTCTATTTAGGTGAGAACTTGTTTGGTAAGGATTGTCTCTTATTGTTGAAAAGGAATATTTTATTCTCTGACTACTTTTCTTTGGGGAAGACAAAGTGTTTCTTAGACTTCAGACTTTTTTATGTGAATCTGTGTTTGGTTAAGGTCCTAAGTTAATGAAATACCTTGATTATTGAAAAAAAGAACAGAGGCATTCTTGAGAACTTCTGACAGCAGTGTGTAGTTCTGCCTCTCACAAGGTCCCCAGAACTCCTATTAGTGAGGGTTTTTGTTGTGATCTTCTCTTTTATTAAAAAAGTTTGTGTCTAGATAGTTTTGTACTTCTGAGTCTGATGTGTGATTTGCCCAGCTGGGAGCAAAAGGTTGGAGGACAGGTCCTCCTCAACATTTGGACAGGCCACTGACTGAAACCTGATGGTAGCTGTCTTTTTCTTTGAGTTGCTGTAAACTTGTGGTTTGGTAACAAGGAGAATTCAGGGAACTAATTGTCTATTTAAAATGTCAGATAACAAATATAAGAATATCCAGGCTATAACTAGAGTTTTTACATTTACTAAAGAACAGAACTGCAATTCAGACTAAGATGAAATAAATAGAGATTTTTCTTCCTATTGTAATGTTGTTTCTCCTAGTATAACTTTTCCCCCTCATTTAAAGAATTATTTAGAAAGGCAATAAACAGGGACAGATTGCCTCGCTGATTAATAGAATTTTATTAAAATACTTAAAATGACAGTTTCTGTAAACATGTTACAATACAAATTCTTAGAGATGATCACTTTTTGATTTAAGCTATAGCCATAATAGTTTATAAGGGGCTTTAAAATAGCTTGAAATGTCATCTTTAATGAATAACTAACTGTAATAGGTAAAGTAATTTCCTCTTTAAGTGAAAGGAGGCTTCAAAATCTAAGCCTTTCAGAAATTATAATGATTAAGTATATAGGAGAGAGAAAATATATTGATTTTGGAGTTCAGAAGTAATTTTACAATGACTACTCCATTTCTTTGACAATTGTTTTAATCATAAAACTCGTTAGATTTTTAGTCCTTTGGAATATGATCATTTTGCTTTCAATGTTCTTAAACTGTGCTTATGAAAATTTATAGAACTTAGTAACTTGAAATTAATGAAGTATAGCTGTTTTAAATATAACTTCTAAGGTGAAAATGTTCTAATAGTGTTGTTTTTACCATTTTGACGTGACTACTGTAAAAGAATTCAAGTGTCCTAAATTTAAACTAGTTTGTCTCCTTTAAAAAAATCCAAAGGTATTTTTTTAAACATATTGTTAAAGGGGAGAATTAAAATATTAAACAGTGTTCTTGGCTTATTAAAAGGAAAAGAGTTTTTTATATGCATCTGTATTACTGCTTTTGGGCAGTGCTTCGTATATGTGGTAATAAAGGTTAATGGAAGTGTAGAATAATGGAAAACAAACTGATGAAAAGTAGTCCTTGTTTTTGGAAATTTTCGTAAAAAATTTTAAATGTGTGGTTCTAATCTGTAATCAAGTATTTCAATAATATTAATTATTCTGTATATATTATATTCTTCATATAATTTCTTAAGTACCCGTATAATTTTTTTAAATTTAAATTTCTGCCTGAGAACAATACAACTATTAAGAGGACATCAGAGTTTTTGACATATAAAAATAATATTCACTTATAAATAATTGCAGACTTTAAAATTTAAGATTTGTCTAAAAGTATCTCCATTCTCTCATAACTAATTCTTTTTATGACTTTGATTCTATTTTATCCTGCTTGCTGCAGCACCTTACTCTGTCAGTTAATTCCTTTATTTCTAAAATTTCTGATTTCTCCAGGTACAACCACTGATTATTTCTTTTGATTCTGCTGTGTTGTATTTGATTCCATTCTTTTCCTCTACACATTATCAGTTGCTTAGTCCTGTGAATTTTACTTCATCTCTTGTCATCTCCTTTTATAATTTGAACCTTAAAAAATTATATGGTTGTAATATTCTAGAAAGATTTTTATCCTGTTTTGTTATTTAAATGTGTATGTTTGTGTTTTTCAGGGCATTGAATGAAATGTGGAAATGTCAAAATCTGCTCCGACATCAAGTAAAGGATTTGCTTGACTTAATTAAGCAACCTAAAGTAAGAATTTTTTCCTTCAATGTTTTTTAAAACATATGTATTTTAATTACTATTTACTGTTGCTGTTACATGTTAAACAATTCATTCTGTTTGCTAAATTTCTGACTGTAAAACTTAGGATTCCTTGCTTCGAAAACTCTTAATTTTTAAGAAACTTACTAAATAGAAAATGATAAATGTTTTTATCTGCAAAGGTAATACCCACCATTAAAAAGAGTGCTTTTATGTACTCAAAATTAAAGTTTTTTGGATAGCTTTAAAGATGTAAACAATAACTCAGCTTTATTGAAATCATAGAAAATATAATGAAATTATGTTGCCACTCTAAGATGTTCCCTACTTTTTTGTATATGCTTGTGGTTTTAGAAAGTTTCAATAATTATGTAATTTTAGTTAGGTATCTTGATATTTTTACTTAATATTTATGGAGATTTTAAATGTACTTCCTGGTATTTATAATTTAACGGTGGTATTCATCCAGTGGATGTAATTTTATTTTTTGGACATTTAGAATGATTCTAGGGTTTTCTTTTTTTTTTTTTTTTTTTTTTTTTTTGAAATGCTGTATGTAGACATGTGTAAAAGGCATATTCATCTAAAAAGCAGTGTTCCTGGTCATTTTAAATTGCCTTCAGGGAAAACAGTAGTAGTAGTATTTTTGCTTTTTCAGTTTCTAGTGCTCTTTCTCAATCTCCCTTCCTCACATATACTTCATAGGACAGAGGAGCAGTATTGTTTCATCTAAGGGGAGAAAATTTTCACTTTTTCCCTTGGCATAAATTCACCAATTGCTCTACAAAACAGTAAACTCATACCATTTGTTTGAGTGGTTTATAGTGACCCTCTCACTGTTTTTTTTTTTAACCTTCAGATCACTAGTAATAAGGCATTTTGTACCACTTGTTTGCCTAACTGAAGCTTACTTTTGAGTAGCATTTTTGTTTTATAGGCTAACAATGACCTCTTTGTGTTTTATTGAACCTTTATTGAACATTTTTTCTGTGATTATTGAGTATATCGAATCTGTCAATATGTTTTTCTTTAAAATAAATGACTTAAAACTAATTTAGTGATAACGCTGTTTTCTTTCTCTTAAAGCCTGTTACATTAGTATGATTTAGTCAGTAAGCATGTTTCAGTTGGTGTTATAATGCAGTAAGCTAGTATGCTTTAGTTAATAATCCCTGGATAAAGTGCCTTTCTTTGCTACTTAGAGCTCTATATATTTCCCTTTTTCTGGCCAAATGTGTAAGAGTGTTAATTAAAAACATAAGACATTCTTACTTGCTTATAAAATTATTTATAATTTTAGGCATTATCAAAATCATAGTAGCATCCAGGTAGTATGTTAAGTGTATAAATCATATGTTGAACAAGCACGATGTGTGAGATTGTAATCAAATATAGCCTTGTTTTTGATTCTCACTGTTCCTCTAAAATGTATGCATTTAGTTGGAGCTTCTTCATTTTGCCTGTTGTTAAAAACTTGGAAGGGTCTTATGACTTTGCTGCTGAGTCATACATGAAATCACTAAATACAGTCTCAATTCAACTAGAATGTTTAGTTTTCTACTACAGTGGAATTTTCTTTTTGCCTGTGTTGAAATAATTACCTAGTTATCCACATTAAAGATGGAGTTCTCAACCATCATTCTCAGCAAACTGACACAAGAGCAGAAAATCAAACACTGCATGTTCTCACTCATAGGCGGGTGTTGAACAATGAGAACACATGGACTCAGGGAGGGGAGCACTACATACTGGGGTCGTTGGGGGGAAATGAGGGAGGGATGGGCGGGTGGGGATGTGGGGAGAGATAGCATGAGGAGAAATGCCAGATATAGGTGAAGGGGAGGAAGGCAGCAAATCACACTGCCGTGCGTGTACCTATGCAACAATCTTGCATGTTCTTCACATGTACCCCAAAACCTAAAATGCAATTAAAAAAGAAAGAAAGAAAGATAGAAAAAAAATGGAGTTCTCATTCACGTGTGACAGGTTTGAAAAAGTAACAGAATGCAGAAGGATAGCCAAGCGCCATTTCATTTCCCCCAAATAAGACAGCAACTATAGCAATCTTACATGTTTCTAGACAGGTGTTCAATGCTTTAAATTCCAAATATTTGGGAATTCTTGAACTTTATTATGCTTTACCTCTTAGTTCCTCTTAGCAAGCTCATTCTCAATATGGATAGTCTGTTTATTTATTTATTTGATTTCCTTTCAGTTCTATGTTTATTCAGCTCAGTACTTTAAATAAACTTACTCAATGACATTTTTTGTTTTTCTTGTTTAGAATAACACTATTCTGATGTAGTGAATAATTAGCACTCTAAGAAATGTCTTTTATACATGTCAGTCACGTGTTAATTGTGCCTCTCCAGTGTCTTCCCCATAAGCTTCATGACTATGCTTTATAATTCTCGGATGTAAACATTGTAGGAGTTTTCCCTATTCTTTTAGCTCCAAAAAAAAAAGCCCCAAAATATCTACCTGTTACAAAATGCAGTGCAGCCACTTGATTTCTTTTTGGAGGCTAATAAAACAGGGTGAGATAAGCGGCGATGAAAGTGGAGAAGGAGTTTACTTCCACCTCCTATCTGGCTTATCTAAAGTTAAAAAAAAAATAAAGAAGGAGACCGTATTGGTAAGAGCATGGGTTTGGAGCATTTAGTGGGTTATGCTTGTCTAATTTTTTGCAGAGTGTGATGAAGTTTTTTTGTCAGGAAATTCTAATTTTGCATTTTTTTAAATGTGATTTACAGACAGATGCCAGTGTCAAGGCCATATTTTCAAAAGTGATGGTTATTACAAGTAAGTTATTTTAAAATATGTATAAAATATGTTTTAATTGAAACTTTTTTATAATTTAAAGTGTTTCACGCAGTTTCGTTAAAGACTATGATAACATAGGAATTTTAAATTTTCTTTAGTGTCTTATATGAGCTAGAGCTGGAGAAGGGATTAGTACATAAATTTGTTTTTAAGAGTTTTATTTCAATCATGTAAGCTTACTGTAAAAACTGAATTGGTGTTTAGTGTTGCTTGCTCTAATGTGACTCTAACTGAAGCTAATTCACTCCAAGCCAAAATATAAAGAATATACCTATAATAACTACATACATAACAGCTTCTTTGAAAAGATATTAATTTGCTGTTTTTGCTTTAGGTGATGTTAGCAAAATGGTATTTCATTTAACAGTAAATACGAAAGAATTATGTGGAACATCTCCTTTGTGCAGTGGAAAAGTAGGGAATATTTGCTATTTTTGCAGGTCATTTGCTTTTCCTCCCATCTCAGAGGTCACCGTATATAGCATATGGATAGAGGGATAATCAGGAACACCTGGAGGAATGCTTCTACGGAGCTTCCACTTGGTGATAATGAAGAGATCTTAAGATGGATCTGAGATGCTAAATATTCCGTGATGTATATGAAAGTAATGTTAAGACACTGAAGATAACAGTAAACCTAACTCACTGGGTTTTGGATTAAGTAATGGAAGTTTTAGAATGAGTAGAACTTTAAGACCAAAATGTCTTTCTGTCCTGGGAAAACTATTCCAGTCCCTGGATAACTTGCTAAAGCAAGTTGTTTTGTACTATTCCTTTTTTAAAAAAAATAATTTGAGTTTTAGAGATACTATCTCACTCTTTTGCCCAGGGCTGGAGTACAGTGGCACAGTCATAGCTCACTGCTATCTTGACCTCCTGGGCCTAAGCCATCTTCCCGCCTCAGCCTCCTGAGTAATTGGGACTACATGCACATACTACCACAGCTGGCTAATTAAAAATATATATATTTTAGAGACTACATATTGCTATATTGTCCAGGCTAGTGCTGAACTGCTGGCCTCAGGTGCTGGGATTACAGGTGTGAGCCACTGTGCCTGGCCAATTGCCTTTTTATAACCATCTTTTCAGTAGATTGGCTGTATATACCGTCTCCTAAAAGAGATCATTCCCTAAGTTTTATTTTTTTTTCCTATCAATTTTCTTCCAGTAAGTCCATTATTTCCCAGATTCAGCTTCAACGAATGCTAGTATCCTGCAGGTGTTAATAGTATTATGAAAAAAAAGGGTTTCATTGTCATATGTTTATAGAATGCTAAATTAAAGGAGTTTTCTTCCTCCCTTCTTTTCCCTCCCTCCTTTTGCTTTTGTTTTCTGAAATAATAGGCCTTATTGTAGCCTTTATTGTGATGCCCATCCATTATGAAGGGCTGTAAAATAACATTTTCCAAAATTACTTGAAAAAAATACCTTTTCCTGAGCACTGTTAAACTCCACGGAACTGCTAGTGATCTTTGGAACACAGATTGCTAAGTGCTAGTGCTGCACTAGCGGTTTTTCAGCTTGCCCTCAGGTGCTTATGTAAACTTATATAAACATTTCATTTATCTTTTTT